TAGTTGACATTTACATTTTCACCCTTGTGTAATTAATTTATTTTAAACACGTGATTTGAAGAAAATCTTTGAGATCACGATCTATCGGCATATTCCATAACCTCCTCATCTCTCTCAAACATCGTGTTAATTTTTGAACCGTTCCAATGGCGCGTGTTGAGATTCATATCTCGTTCCGTTCAGAGAGTCGGCGACTGTAATTGAAGAAGGCGAGTTTTTTTTATTTTTATTTTTTGCAACGCAGTTGTTTTTATTGCTGATTCGATGCATTAAATTTGGAGCATATCTATGGTGAATCTGATGTAATTGCATAAAGTGGCTTGTAATTATTTCATATATGCGAACTGTTGTTTCGTTGTTTGTGCGAACGATAGCTTACGGACTATTTATGTTGTTATGTATGTATCAAGGAGTTTTTTTTTTGTGCTGAGTATGTTCAGATTTTATAGTCGTGTTATGCAGATAACACGACTATTGTTTTTGCAGTAACATGTTCGTAATTTACTTATTATTATAGTTGATTTACTTATAGTCGTTTATGCAGTAAGTAATAATAGTTGTTTAATGCATATTCTATATTAACTGTGTTTTTATTTAAATATTATGTTTGTTGTAGATGGATAACAGTGTTAATATTTTTGTGAAGTACGGTGGTTTGGTTGCTTTGAAGCGATCTTCTGGACTTACTTTCCAAGCATTGGTTGATTTTGTGTGTTCGAAATGGCAATGTCTGAATGCATCTAGTATAAGCATGACTAATATGGTGGCTGATTGTGGAGAATGCATTACAGCGGATTATGAAAACTTGGTATCCATGTCCGCATTAATGCGCGAGTTGCCTTTGGTGCATATAAATATCGTGGTGAAGGGTGCAGCTGACATTGTGACTCGACCGATTCAACATGTGGATGCACCAATTCGGCATGCCCACACACAGATGACTCTGTCAATGATCGGCTATGACAAAGATGTGGAAAATGTACTCGGATTCAACTGCGATTATAGATGTACGGGAGAAGACATGCTCATGTAGGTAGTGGCAGATTACGGGGCTGCCATGTTTTCATGCTGCTGGTATTATTTTTCTAAAAATGAAGGGAAGGTATGACCTTATTGATAAGGTTTTTCATACTTCAACATTCAGACAGACATATCCTTCACCTATTTTTCCATTTGTTAAACCTCCTCTCGACCCTGAAGCTGCTATCGTAGGACCTCCAGATTACCGTCCTCAGCGCGACAGACCGAAAAGAAAGAGGATCTTATCTAGGGGTGAGCGTTTCCCTCGCAAGATGAAATGTACCATATGCAACATAGTTGGAAATCATAATAAGAAAACCTACCGCATGTGGGTAGAATTTTTATAATTTTTATTTTTTAATTGTAGTTGATTTTGTATTTTATATCGACAATATTATTCGTACATTGATTTAGTAGTTTGATTAAACAGTTCGAATATATGCTTTAAGTGTTTCAATTTTGAGGTTGTTGTTGACTTGTTCAATATTGTTAGTATAGTTCACTTCAGTTTGATTAGATAGATCGAATATACGTTATATTCAAGTATAGTTGAGTTCTCTTATATGCCTTTGTTTGTGCGATGTTTTCAATATATGGTGTTCGGTGTACAAATTATTCAACTATTTCCTTTTTTGTAGATAATAGTTGTATTCATAGTTTTTGTTCCCATAAAGTATAGATGAAGATTCGGTATAGAATACGTTCATATATAACTAACATTACATTTTTGTAATAACATGAGAACTGTGAAAATAGTTCATTACATAACATATAGTTGTTTTTCAGCATCCTTTTACGTATGCCTTTACACTACAATGCACGATTGTGCTTTCAGCAACAAAAAAAGCATACAACTATTAATGAACAACTATTATAAACCAAGATCAGTCAGTACATAAATTAAACATCGTCAACATAAAATACCAACTAAAACATTCTACGCAAGTTTACAGCTACATTAAACTAAAAGTTTGCTCAAAAAACAACTTCGCTCAAAAGTAATAAAACGTCAACATAAAATACCAAAAAAAGAGGATCTATGCAAGTTTACAACTACAAAAAACTAAAATAATCAAGCGATTTTTTTACTCGAATTCATCTTTTTGCTTCCCCAATCTAGAAAGGTTTTCACAATTTCAGTTCGCATTGCTGGGTATTCTTATTCAGCTTCGTCCTTTATGATTGGTTGTTGCTCGAAAAGTTTTTTAATCAGATACAAAACCACCACACCGCAGTCAACACTATCATCTTTTTGTTGTGGCGCTTCAGCGAGTGAAACGATTTTCTCTTCTGGACATACGAGTATGAGGTTGTGATGTGCTGCTGTTGTGATGTGTTGCTATTTCGAATCACAATGGCATGGAGATTGATCTATTTTCAAAAAAAAAAGGTCTATTTGCAAAATAGTCAATTTATATCTAGGCAGAATAGTCTATTTACAGATTGTCTATGTACAAACTACTGCACTATTACCTAAATAGTCTATTAACAGTTAACAAAAACAGTTTAATAATAATTCCAGAACATTCAAGACACCCAAGCAAATAGACTATTTGGAATAACAATGGCATGCGATTTTTTTGACCGAGCAAGTACTAGATACAAATGCCCACTAATTCCAGCAAGAATAACACATTAATAACAATCTTAATGAACTATTTAAACAAACATCTACAATATAGTCATATAATCTACAATTACATAGTTTACAAGGAATTGCTTACAAAATAGTATGTCTGCAGTATACTCAAACACGAATTGCACGTTTTTGTTTCAAAGTCATATGTTCCAAATATATACCAACAAACCTACAAATGTAAGATTGAACTATTTCTATTTTCGCTAATTGCGAAACAACTACTTAACAATTTCATAAACAGTCTATTAACAGTTAACACAAATAGTCTATTAGTACTTTTTTTTTCCTTTTCCAATTAATAGACTGTTTTCTTTTTTTCCAACTCAAATAGTTGATTCTCTTTTTCCAACTCTTTTCTTTTTTCTTTTTTTCCAAAAAAATAAATAAATATTTATCTT